CTACTACACCACCACTAACATTATATATGTCATTGATTGTTTATACTTTATAAAGCAAACTTGCCTATGACATTAATATATAAGAATGAATAGTAAAAGTCTCGGGTTTTGAGGTGGAAAATCTTGGTACGGGTTTGAGTTCAAACCCAAGATTGAACCGTTGTGGAATTTCGGGTGCAATGTGTTCCTTTTTCTTAATTTTGCTCCAAGGGCATTGACTAGAGTGACCCCCTAAGATAATACTTGGGTATTGGAAGGAAAGTTAAATGCATTTTTCCATTATCAAATCATTTTTTTTTTTCATTTTTAGAGAGAAAAAGTGAAGTACAGAGTTGGGATTTTGGAAGCAAATCAGCTTAAATAGAAAGGAAGAAGAAGGTGTTGCTTGCGAGTTGGGATTAAGCCTGATATTGTTTTAGAAAAAGGCCCAATTACTAAAAAAAACTTAGTAGACTAGACCCAGCTCTCGTCTACTGAGACGATTTATTGCCCGAGTCAAATTTTTTTGTACAAATCAACATGAAAACTTGGGGACTTAAATTAGACTAAAAATCGATTTTTGGCGGTCCAAAGTGTAATTTATGTGTGTTTCATTGCATCTGGAAGACTTCATTTTGTAGTTATAATTCTTCAACCTGGAATTATAGGCAGATCATACAAATGCATTCCTAAGTATTATTTAAAAATCATACCAAATGAAATTATAATTGTTCTATATGTTGACTGAACATGACCATTGTTTTTTTTTAGCAGAATAAAGTATGGACGACGTGCAAGACAAGCATGCCAATGTTTTGGTGCAATCTGAGAGTGAGAACGTGACGGAGTCCGTCAATGTAGTGGAAGGTGAAACATCTAGTGAAGTTGGCGTAATTGTGCCCGAGGTGAGAATGTTGTTTAAAAATGAAAAAAAATATGTATAATTTTTACAAGAAATATGCTTACATAGTAGGTTTTCCAGTTAAGAAAATGAATTCAAAAAGGGTCGACAATGGAGTTTTGAGATATATGACGTTAACATTTAGCCGTGAAGGCAGAAGAATCGGTAATAATAGTGGTTCTTTAAAGCCACAACCAATAGTTAGGATGAGTTATACAGCCTGGATATCTGCATCTTCTGATAGTTTTGGAAACTGGAGAATTAATGAGATAAACATGGATCACAATCATGAAACAAAACCTTCTAAATCCAAGTTATATCGATGCAACAGACAATTGAGTGCAGCTATGAAACGGAAGCTTCGGGTGAATGATTTAGCAGGAATTGCTTTGCATAAAAGTTACAACTCTACAGTTGTAGAAGCTGGTGGATATGAGAACATGACTTATATTGAAAAAGATTGTCGGAACTATATAAAATGAGCGAGGCGATTAAGACTTGGAGAAGAAGATGCGGCAGCAATTCAATCCTACTTTTCAAAAATGCAAGCACAATACTCGGAATTTTACTTTAGTATTGATTTGGATGACGAGTCGTGGGTGCGAAATGTATTTTGGGCAGATAATCGATGTAGGCAGGCGTACAAGGAGTTTGTCGATGTCGTTTCATTTAATACCACTTATCTCACTAATAAGTACGACATGATGTTCGCTGAAATGATATACCGCAAGTGCACGGGGTCGCGTTCTAGTAATAAAGTGAATTTTTTGAGTTCGAGTTGTCGATCCCTCGAGGAATGTTTACTTTCGATTACGCAACTTTAATCAATTTAAATTTAACAATAAAAATGAAAATACAATAAGATTAGGTTTTAGAAAATAAGAAAAAATAAACTACAACTCTACGACATAAGAAAACGTAAACACTTGGGAATTTTGGAGGAAAACTTGGTTGGGATTCAAGGTTTCGCTTGACCATCACCTAATTAATTTATCCACAAGCCAATTAATAAATTACTTATTTACTATGTTAGACTCGATTTTTCAAGTTCAGTTAATTACCTCGCTCGAGCAAAATTAACCTTAATTGATTAATTTAACTTATTATATCTCTATGTCGATTAAAACCAAACAACCATATTAAATCTTTACTAAAATAGCTCAATTGGTCACCTAACGTTAGGGGTATATTTCTATTTCACACACAAACCTAAAGTATGTACTATTTGATCTAAAATGTACAATTTTTTCTCGAACGATATACAAATCACTAGTCTTAATCATTTAATAGTCAAATAAATGAAAGACATTCAACACAATAATAAATACACATGAAAATAAGCAATTTAACATTAAAGAGCAAATATTAAAATTAATTAAAGTTAGGTTAAGTTACTACCATAAATCCCAACATAAATAAGTAGCCCATTTTATACAAATGATAAAAAGGTAAATATTTATAACAATACATTACAAATATGGCAAAATAATTAAGAAAATACAAAGTTATAGATAAAACCCATTTTTTGAAGCTTGGCCTTGACTTCCTCAAATATTTCTCCAAATTTTTGAATGTATTCTTCTTGTACTCTTGATTTATATTCCCAAAACACCAAGAAATTGAAAAGGAAAATAAAATAAAATAAAATAAACAAAATGAAAATGAAAAAAATGAAAAAAGAAAAATCAAAAGGAAAAGAAGGAGCAACATACCCTTTTCTTCCCTGGAACCCGTTTTAAAACCCATTTTCCAAAAATTGCAGCCCAAACCCTAAGATATTTGCACGTCAAGTCCCTAAACTTTGATCTTATACAATTTGGTCCTCAAATTTTGATTTTATATCGATTATGCCCTTCATAAATTGCATCAAGATCCTTCGACGTTCTGCTTTGTTCACAATTTCGCACACTTATAATCAATTTTTCCTCCTTTTGTCTTATTCTATTTCTTTTGAGTTGATTTTTTACTTATAAAAGTAATAATGACATAATTGTGAGTAGAAATTCGCTCATTTTTATCAATAATAAGTATATTGAGGTATTAAATAAGTGTGCAAAACATACTTATCACATGACATTCGCCCTTTTTTGTTGGTGTAAATTACCACGGACAATCAACACTGCTTGGTTGTGGTTTGGTGTCGAACGAAAATACGGATACTTTTGTATGGTTGTTCAAGACATGGCTTCAATGCATGCACGGTTAAGCTCCACATGATATTATTACCGATCAAGATAAGGTAATGCAAAATGCCATTTAAGGTCCGTTTGATTGCATGGGTGAAAAATGGGTGGAAAGAAAATGAATTCCAAGGAAAGTAATTGCCTAGAAATTGTTTTCCAAGGAATTGTTAATTAAATGTGTTTGATTGATATAATTTTTCACCCTGAAGATTTTTAAATTTTGTGTTCGTTTGCATCAAAATTGTCCATTAAAGTGAAAAAATTTTCCACACTTGGTTATAAAATTTGTTTCCATTGCCAAAAAGTAAAAAAAAAAATGTTTCCTAAAAATCATTTTTTTATCAAAGTTTTGTAGTTGTTTGGCCTTCGTTTGCATCAAAATTGTCCATGAAAGTGATTTTTTTTTTTTTACATTTGGTATATGAAATTTTTTTTCATTGCTAAAAAAA